AAGTCAGGCCCTCATCTCCATCGTTATAATATCGTTCTGCGGGTAGCTGGTACGGGATCTCCAAGTCGGGGTTCTGGCCTACGGGCTTATCACTGATCGATTTCAGTTCCAGTGGCAAGAATAACCGCCGGAATTACGGATATGGTTCCCTAATGGGAGTTTCTTCGCTGTAAAGCCAGTTCCCTCCTGGATGCGGGGCGCGTTCAAACAGGCGGACCGCGAAGTTGTGTTCGATGAGGTTCGCAGCAGCTTGAAGTCCAGCAGGTCCTGCACCAACAACGGCGACACGTCGAATAGGGTGGTGGAAGGGTGTCCCATGCTGTTCAGGACTCGAGTCCAGGACAGTCTGGAATTCATTTTGGGCAAAGACTGAGATCCCGAAGGCAAGAAAAGCCAGAAAGCTTTTGGGGAAAGCCATGTCGCCTGAGGAGATAAGACCTCTCTTTTTATATTACGTCTGTCCTTCCAAAGCTCTCAAACTCCGCCAGATTGTTATTTTAAACACAAGCCTCAGATGAAACCCAATTGCGGGGTTCCCAATAGTGAAAATATTCGTTATTGTGTCGTCGACGTCGTAGCAGTTTGCATTGGTGCGCCGCGGCGCGCGCCGCCGTCGGGCTCCCCGTTCTCTGTGGCCTTCAAATAACCTGTGGCAGTGATTATGGCAGTACAAGCCAATTTGAGCGAGGGGCCGACTTTGCGCCCGACAGCTGGCTTGAGATTCCCACAATTATTATTATTCGTATCTTAAGCAGATGTCCTGATTTCGCATGCACCTATTTGCCTGCTTCCTAATTTGCATCTTTGTCCCCGACTACCCGGTACTCACAGCTCCGTTCCATTATCTCGGTCCCTTCAAGCTGGTATTTATTTCTGGACATCTCGGCTTAACTCCGGGGGGGCCTGTGCTATGACGTAAATTCCATTTTGAACAGACCACATGCCCATCAGCGGAGCGCTCAAGGCCCACTCGAAAGGGAGGCTTATGGGAAGTCTTCCATCAGTGAGCGGAAGAGGACTACGTAGTTGCGAGAAGAATTCTGTATCAGCCTGAGAGCGAGTCGGAACTTACTCACACTGGAAATTTGATGGAATCATTTGAGCTGAAATTGAGTGCCAAATGGTTACGAGTCCTAATTTATTAGGTTTCGTTCTTGGTAATCTTTTACTGCGAGAGCTCGAGCCCTTTTAAAGTTTGATGTGAAACGTGACTTTTTTGATCAAAACATGTCTTTTTCCCTATATTTTGTAACCACCGAAAGTGCTTGCCACAATTTTTCGGATTTTGATTACAGACTGGTAACGAGTCTAACGGCATGCCCCCATCAAACTTTGCGCAAACAAGGGTATTCCATTCCCCAATTGCAAAGAGTGCCACAAACTGACTGACTAGGCTGCTATTGGCCAGTGGCCCACTACCTGGGGTGGCCCACTTCCCAGCGGGTTATAGTAACCAAATGCGAATGCATATGCAGTCTTCTTCGAGTAATATAACTCGTGCCTGAAGGAGAGTAGGTCATTTGAATTCGTCTTTTTCCTCCCGTCTTGCAGTTTTTGTTGCGTGGCCATGGGAGGCCTTGTTGACCAGAAGATTTTTGATGAGACCACAATTCTCCTCGTTAGCGAACCAACGTTGCAGACTTAGACAACGCACTGCAGATCACGACACCAAACGCCAGCTCCCCCAGTAGCGGTGCAATCTCCCTCTGAGCGAGGAGACCTTTGAACAGTTCTAGCGCAGATTGACTGATTTGGGCGATGATCCCTGGGAGCTCTTGGTCCACTTTGTTCGTGAAAATCTTCCCGAGTTCTGTTAACTCAGGGTGAGCGCATATAAATATTGCGTGCGCAGGGTCTTCGAATGTGCAAGTAACGAAAGCGGCAGAGGCGCCACTCTTTAGGGACTACCGATATGTCCTTGCGCACTTCCCCGCGCCTCCCTCTTCCCTCGCAGTCGAATGATCCGACGCTGGACACTTTATGGGTTTCCGGGTTGCGGACCATCTGCGCGGTATTTTTCAGCTTTTTCACGCTAATTGTGCCATATGATCTTGCTTCCAGCAACCGTTTGGTGGTCGTGTATGCCGTTCAAAATAAATCTGCTGCTTCGCTTCTGTAAGGCATCGACTTGCCCATGCTACCTCCACGCCTCCCCCTCCCCCGCTTTCGAACAAACCTCAATGCCCCCAAACCGCGCCGTTCTGGACAAGAGGTTGGCGAAGCAAACATTATGCAATTCAACACGCCCCAGAATTCCCATCAGACGAGTCGCAGAAGATGACGACTCAACCCCGGCCCCCAAAAAAGTGAAAGGGAGGCAAAGTACGTACTACGTCATTTTATTGCGCTCTGTATTGTGTGTCATTGAATAATACCTAAAATATTCATCCTCAGACTGGTAATCAATCTGTTTATGAAACAATTGTAGACTAGCATGAAACAGTTGTGGATCGTTGGGGTGCCTGAATCTCATTTTGTTACCCGCGCTCCGGCGTCGACGGCATGTTATAGGTATTTTGTTCCAGGCCTTGTCCCAAGCAATGGATTGTGGTCTTGGCCAGGTCTTGGCTATCATCTCGGTCGGATACGACTGGCTCGGCTCGGCTTTCGATGGCTCGGAAGCCGTTACCAAATTGGGCAAGCCGAGCCGCAATCAAGCCGCTGGCGACCTTACGAGAAAGCCATGCGAACTGGCAACATTGGCGAGTGGGAATGTGCCATCCACATTCAATGTGGATGGCAGCACAAGGCGTGAGCGAGGACGCTGAAGGAACCAAACCACGATGGGAGCGACGAGGGACGGGGAACATAAGCTTGTATCGTTGTTCAGATAGTCCGGTATGAATACTGTATTCGGGTCTAGGGAGTATGAAACAAAATAAAAGCTGGCCAGGTAGTCTTGACTCTCCATTGTTCCAGAGACCGACACGGATGATATCGAATTACATGCTGTGCGAACAACGGAATAGCTCTGACAGCGGGCGCAAAGCCTATTACCGACCTTACATTCTGTTCCCTCGCAACACACACAAAACTTTTGTCGTGACTGGGATCTAGCCTAGATCCCAGTCACGACATTATGTCACTGTCCGTTCTCCGCTTGCCGCCAATTAAAATGGGATTGCTCAGGATATACCCATAAAGGCCTGTTTTTTTTTCTCACAAAATGTCAGGACAGATTTTTGGAGAAACGTCAAGATTTGTACAGGCCTAAGGGCCAAAATTTCCCAAAAATCGCATGTGTGACAAAATTTTCGCCCCAATGAGGTGGTTTTAGGGGAAAGACTTCCGCAGACGCGATTTTGTCAGGGCTTTGTCACCATTTTGAACAGGCATTTTGACTTCAAAAAGGCCAATGTCGGGATTTTTCCCCAAGCCTGCGGCGCAAAAAATCAGATTTTGTCAGGACTTTTGACCAGCGGTCCTGATTGCTCCGGCAATATACTTCCTTCCGTAACGCCCAGGCGGGTTCCTGAGTCTGAAGGGACCGGGTTTAAATTACCCTGCGCCAACGGCATACCGCATGTAGGCGAAATGCCAAGCCTCTTGTCAATGAAGGCGTTAAAAGTATAAATTGTGAAGGTTAGAGACAGCGACAGTTAGAGCTTTAACCACCTAACCACCTAAACATGCAAACGAAATTAGCCTCTCTTTCCCTCATCCTCTCTGCACTCTTCGTCTCTCAAGCAGTCGGCGCTGCCCCCAGGAAGGTCGATTGCTCTCTGGTCCGCTGTGCTTCAGTAGAATGGTAAGTCCAGTACATGGGCTTTCAGCGCGTGAACTTAATTCGCTTTTTTTCTCCGGACAGTCCCCTCGGCCAGACGGCACAAATTAAGCCTGGCACTTGCTGCCCGACCTGCATCCCCTGCAATGAAGTGGTCTGTACATTGATAGCTTGGTTAGTCTTAGCTTGTTATGGCGGCATCGTAGGTGCTAACCTTGCTAATAGTGCTGGTGGCACCATCCCGGTTACGAAACCTGGCCAATGCTGCCCGACTTGCGTCCCTCCGCCAGATTGTTCTGCTGTTCAGTGTCTCGCCTGGTAAGCATCAGGCTATGACAATGGATGAAAATGTAGCTCACGTTCCTCAATAGCCCTGAGGACACCATCGCAGTAACCGTGGAAGGCCAATGCTGCCCCACTTGCAAGCCGAAGCCGGATTGTAAAAATGTCCTGTGTCTCGACTGGTGAGTGTAAAACGATCAAATCACTGAGACGAACTGACAGATTGGAGTAGTGTCGGTGTGATCGAACCTGGCAATTGCTGCCCTACTTGCGGATTGGGAGTGTGATGTTGAGGTTTTAACATTGAAAAGGCGAAGAAACGAGTACATAATCTGTGTAGCAGATTCCAGATACTACAATATTGAGTGATGGAGATACGGCATATGCTTAAGGAAGTAAGGATATAAGACGCAATGCGACGATTTGGGTTGGCTGGCGCAGGGGCCGATGATGTCTTGGCTTCCATCGCTGCCTCCAGGCGGCGAGAAAATACGACGATTTGAATAAGTAGATGTGTCGATATTTTAGCCCCTCCACAATTCGAATCATGTATCGGACTGTTGGCTGATTGGCGGCGGCCTCCGGATTTTTCGACATTCGCGAGGCGGTATTGATATTATGTATTCAGCATCACCTGCTACCGAATGGCTAACTTCATTTTAAGTTTACTGCGATGAAGGAAAATAGAACCAGGGAAGGGTTATGTATGTCTTCCCACTCTCCGCTCGCTTAATTTCCTGCCTTGAACCCTGTGTAAAGTCCTTCCTCATCCCGGCGCACAGAAAAAAAATGTGTCTGTTCAGACCAACCATGTCTTCGGGTGGATTCGAACCACCGGCTCTCCTCTAAATTTCAAGCATCAAGATATTATAATACAGGAGTGAGTTACGATACTCCACGAAGACTTTATCTGTCCACCTGTTCCCTTGGATAGGCACACAAAAGAATTTGCAACACAGGAAGGAAAAATGGGTACGGGTACAGAGTGGTACAATGTCTTCGGGTAGGTTTGAACCACCGACTCTCCCAGCACTCGAAAGCTATCAGAGTGAGTGGGAGTAAGTTACATTACTCCACGAAGACGATATCCCCTACCTTCTACCCTCCCTCCCGCAGTTACGAGTACTTATGTTTACATATGTTATCGTTTCTTTCAAATCTCAGGGCACCCAAAATCGATCACTTTTTTACTAGTTTCCGATTTCGTTGAGGGACCCCTTTAGTGGCTGTGTCTAGTCGTTGTACTATTTCTATTAGTCGAAAACGTATCAAAAATAGCGGCTGTGCCTTTGTTCGTATTTGGTTAATTGTTTGTATTTACATACTCGGGGAAAAATACCCCTTACTCGGTGAAAAATCATCACTTGCGCAAACAATGGCAAAAAAGTTTTTTGCAATCACCCTCATCCTTCGGCATTCTCCCTCCCCCTTTCGGACTTGAAGAAAATGAAAACCATAAGGACAGGACGGGATCCTCCGACGAACCGTGTCTAACTGCAATGGAGTGCAACTTTTTTTGTATGGCATATTTATACCGTTTTTGGTACTCAATATCGTATAACGGCATATGATATACTTAGAATTGTGATTGCAATATTTATCGCGGGAAATGGGGGCGCGGGAAATGGTGTTTGGTCTTGATTGGCAGCGGAGGCTGCGTTTTGTTTGGTTCCGTTCAGGTAAGTACACAATGATAGCTTGGTCGCCATTTGGTTAATTGCATCTGTGGCTGGTAGACTGCCCGTACTACCGCACGCACGCTGACTTGATGCGATCCGTAACTCAACAACATTTGCCGACGTGCCGACAACGTACTTGGATATTAAATCACCGAGCGCTCCCTCCGCGCACCGCCCCCTGCATCGCTGCGCTGAACACATGTGGCCCTGCGCTCAATGTTCCATCCCGCCATCCCCGATGCGCCTCCTGCCCACAGCACCGCCTGCCCCGCCTCCTGTGTCACCGTCCCGCCTCGCAACAGCTCCCGCCTCCTAACCGCCCGCCAACTCCCTTACACACTCACATCCCTAATCCGCTCCCTCCCGCCTGTTACTAGCTTAATCCCCTGCCAATAAAATACGCTAGAAGTACATAGAGTATACGTCGCGCCCCTAGGTTGCCTCGCCCGCGTAAGCCAGCCGAGGTAACCAGCCGTGGTCCCGGAAAGATCCGGTTGATGGCCCGGCCCAGGGGCCGTGATCGGGACACGTGATGCCGTCGCATCGACGCGCTCTTCGCCGTTTGGGCCAATCCGACGTGTTTCTGGGCAACTTATGAATTATACATGCGTGTATGCATGCTCTGAGCTTGCGGAGCCACTTTACGGCCTATTAGGAAACATAGAGAGCATAAAATAGAGCAAATTCTCGAAATGGCGCCGATAAATTGAGGTATTGAATGAAATAAATGGCTGCCGGGACGCTGCGAGCCTGAAATGATGTACTGTCATGTATTGAGAGATTATATTGAGTTTTAAAGGCACAACGACCCATTTCACATTTTTTATTTTATTTTATAGTGCATAGTAGTGAAATATTTGGGCCTGAGATACTCTAGCCTCTAAGATAGGATTCTTGGGTGATTCTCGAGGGAATAAAGATATTTCATCACTCTTTCAGTACTTATCATTAATTCCTTTGCCTGCTCAAAAAGATATTGGCCCACCTTTAACTCATGCTTCCCAGGTGAAATTTTGTATTGAACTTGCAATAAACTAGGCTTGTGAGCACCTTGAGTGATCATATATGCCTTAGGGATATGCTGGGACATTTTCAGATTTACAAACATACCAGATATGCTCCAGAGCTGGAAATTGCAAGAATAAATTGTGCATGATTGAACATGCACAATTGTAACTGTGAACATCTTCCGATTGAACACATTGAAGAAATTTGATTGAACACTTTTTAAAAATGTGTTCAATCGATGTACAAACACATTACTCAATCGAACATTCAGATATTAGGCTGGGAAAATGATGGTTTTGGCTAGTGTTCAATTGGGAATCCTTCAATTGAGATGTTCAATGTGTTCGATTGTGAAGCCTAATAGGGTAATTATCCTTGATTGAGAGTACGTTCAGCGAGGTAACCGGGCCGTGTTTGAGCCCCTCTGTTTGGCGGGCAAAAAATCACGTGTGGGGTAACCACGGGGGTCACCACAGCCGAGGTATATACATTCACCCTAAATGATCCTATTACCTTTATATAATTTGGTTACCCCAATACAGATTAGATGACACTTTGCAACCCACCCCCTACGCTCCCAAATCCATCAACGACTGGGGTGTGACACTGCCTTGAATGTGTCCTTCCAGGGAATTTCTTGGGAAAATACCAATACACCACACCACCACATTCAAGCCAATCCCGCATACTGCTATCAAATGCGCATTTATTTTCCGGCGCTCATTTGTTTATGGCCCGGTTTCAGAGTTTATGAACAATAGCCAATGGTGAATTGTTCCACACCTGCACTGGATTTAACACTACCCCTGCACAATCCGTCTTCAAATATTGTCGACGGTCCATTGGTTTGTTATTTGATTTCACTGCTTCATTCCACCGACTCTCGTAGTGCATCAACGAGCGCTCCGTAATTTTCCACACCCGCGGCCCGCTCCGCCCTGCGCCGCTGCGCTGAGCATCCCACATCGCCATGTGCCTCCCGCCCACTGCAGCGCATCAACAAGTCGGCCCGCTGCGATGCGCCTCCCGCCCACCGCAGCGCATCAACTTTGAGAAACCCAGGGACGGGATGCCGAAGGCGATGTGAGGCCATTCTTCTTCTGATATTATTTTATTCTTATGCTTAGGGCCTGTTCGGATGCAACAATCGCGATTGTTTTGCGCAATAAATCCTGATTGTTTTCCATATGGGGCAGTTGAATTGTTTTCCGTAAGCTGTCCTGCAACCATCAAGATGTCCATCACCGTTGGCTCTTCACCGTTTCCCGACGTTCCCGCCTATCCCGCCCGTTTGCGCCCGAGTAGAAAGTGGGAGAGGTAAAGATTTCTAGTGAGATGTCATTGACAGGTAGTGTGTCGCAGATACCATCTTTGCCAACTGTCCCAACGCGCCCAAAAACGAAGTGAGTTTGAGGGCGAAATGTGGCCGTGATCGTCATGGACGATGAGCAAGCCACTTGTCTTTGTCGCTGAATCGCTTGCCAGTGGTCACCAGCACCGCTGATGAAGAAATTGCCGGACTTTATGTAAAACAATCCAGCTACCCCATATGGAAAACAATCAGGATTTATTGCGCAAAACAATCGCGATTGTTGCATCCGAACAAGCCCTTAATCTTATCATTTGGTACTTGGAACATATAACCAAAAAAAAAAAAAAAAGTAAGTACGAGTTGCATGCCGGGCGACGCCACGGCCCTTTACCCCAAGTGGGAAGACGCAAAGAGAGAGAGTCGGTGATCTCGGCCCGATGGTGGCAGTGTCTACTCGTTCCCACGCCGACAAACGATGCTTGTCCCAGCCTTCCAGGTTCCTGGCCTTTCCTCAGCTGCGAAGACATTCTTCGGACACAAACCTTAACCTACACGCTAAAGACACGTCCTTCTTTCCGTTGCTGTGTCTGCAACCGCTCGTCTCTACCGGCTCATCCGTCGCGTTTGGCCGGCTCCACGACTGGCGCACGGCGCATGACCGGCTTTTTCAGCGTGTACACGAGTGCAAGCCCCTTACCGGTATTTTTGATCCCCGCGACCGATTTGCCCATAACTCAATGAGTATTGCGTCAATTGAGATAAAAACTATATAGGAATGACCGCTTAATCCATGTGCAATTAGTGATAGAGCTAAAGTAGAAAATAAATTATATCTTCAGGTGTCTTGAGAAACTAGGACTTCTGAGTGAGAATCTGGGCCAGCATGCCCAAATCAAATCCAAATGAGTTGAAATTTTGGGAGGGAGTGTTTGTAACTACTCCAGTCAATGTCATAGAGCCAGAATTGCGTATAAGAAATTCCTCCAGCTTTGTAGCCCTCAATTGAACTGAAATTAGTATCAGAGGGCTACAAAGCTGAGGGAAGTTCTTATACACAATTCTGGCTCTATGACATTGGCTGGAGTAGTTACAAACACTCCCTCCCAAAATTCCAACTCATTTGGATCTGATTTGGGCATGCTAGCCCAGATTCTCACTCAGAAGTCCTAGTTTCTCAAGACACCTGAAGATATAATTTATTTTCTACTTTAGCTCTATCATTAATTGCACATGGATTAAGCGGTCATTCCTATATAGTTTTTATCTCAATTGACGCAATACTCATTGAGTTATGGGCAAAAACTCTACCGAAGAATATGGGGAACTTTACCTCAACGCGCCCATGATGTCGGCGGCCTGCTGAGCGACCTCTTGTCCGCTGGCCTCATCACTTTTCTCATCGAAGACAAAGAAAAGATTCATGAGGTCGCATGCCGCACGAAAATGGTCGGGGCCGGCATTTGCGTATGCTAATGATGAGAATATTCCGAATTTGCATCGGTTGAATGCGATCTGAGCCCGTGGGTTGAATGCCCCGAACGACTCGACCCAGGCCGCACTATCCGCAACAATGTTTTGCAGAGGGTTCGGCTTTGTTTCAAATGGCCAGTGGGCCAGCAAATCTGGGAGGATAACATCGGTGGTGTTTGCCATGGTAGGTGTAATCAACCCTCTCATGGATCAAGCGAGTATTTCATATCGGGATGCTGGAGTGGCTCAAAAATATAAAACGCCTTTTAGATCCCAATCAGCCGGTTAGTTACTTCTATTTATGTTCGACCTCCGGAGTTTTAAACTCCGGAGGTCGAATAAATTATGGATGTTGGGGCGGAAGCCTTTGAGATACCGATCGGTCGGGACTCCGACTCAGTTATTTAGTTCTATTCATGTTCAACGTTCGGACTCCATTAGAGCCGCTCAAATATAGAAAGCCTTTTAGATCCCAATCGGCCGGTTACTTAGTTCTGTTCATATACAACATCCTGATATCCGTTTCATATAAAGTTCGCGAAGAGGTCCGCCGGTGTTTACCGGAATCTGAATGCTTGCATACCTATCCCAGTACGCCCCAGTTGCTCTCTCTG